TCCATGGGAGAAAGATGAGGCGTTCCGCTCCCATAAAGATTTACAGCCTCGGAAACTCTGTGCAGGGTCGGTATGAGTCGGAACCGATTCCATGGCCCATAACAATGACAATATGGCTGGATCTGCGTTTGCATTGACAGGTCCAGACCAAACTGATTTCACAGGTCTCATAAGGCCTGGAGGCCAGCTGTTCCCCGTACAAGGTTACTACGAGTTACTGAGTCGGTACCTACCTGATGGCATTTAACAACAATGCTGGTGGTTATAATTATTTGGGAATGAGCTATCTGTGTGATGTGAATGAGGCAGGATTTGTGTAGGATGTATTTTGAGTCAATCTTTTTTGAAATATTAGATTAAACAAGCAAGAAGAGGCAAAGATGAGGGAAGAAAGATGCCACATCACATCAAGATCTCCCAGAAGCCGAAGTTCAAAGAGACAAGGAGATTCCTCCAGAGCCAACAGAGGGAGACAACCTTGCCCTAGCACCAGTACCCTGAATCAGGACACCCAGTATCCTAAAGTGAGAGAGAATAGACGTGTGTGTGTGTGTGTGTGTGTGTGTGTGTGTGTGTGTGTGTATGAAAGCCACCGTCTGTGATACTTTTATCCCAGGAGTACTAGAGAACTAAGGCAAGGCTGCCTTCCATGCTGACTTCAAGGGGATTTGGTTAAAGATCCAAAAGCTGCTCTGGGCTGTCCTTCCCTTCTAGATCGCGGGAAGCCCCCTGTGCTCTTCTTGGGCCCCATGTTGACTGAGAGCATGAACTCTCCGTATTCCCCACTCAGAAAGTTCCAAAACAAATGACTGGAAATTGCAGTGTGGACTCCAGGGCATTCTGGGGTTCTGGGGGAATCTTAATTATTTCATACTGCTGAAACATAAATACAAGTGGGTGGATTTAACAATGGTTTAGGAGATTAGAAGTCTGAATTTTAGGGCACGGGCTCCAGGGGAAGGCGTTCTCTCTGTAACTATCCCTTTTCAGCATCCGTGGGTCTGGTGTCAAGTGGAGATCTTCAGGTGTCTTGGAATCAATCTGCCCCTGGGTCTAGAAGGTTCTTAATTAGCATGGGGACCCCAGGTCCAAAGGACGTGCTCCTGGCTCCTCTTTTTTGGTGGTAGTAAGCTTTTCTGATCTTTGCTCACTTGCGGAATTTTTCTTTTCTTAATATCTCAAAAGAGATGGACTCAAGATATAAGTGATCTTTTGTAGTTATCAGCCAGTCTAATTAACATGTTGTTGTTAAGTGCTGTCGAGTCAGTTCCAACCCATAGCGACCCAGCATAGGGTTTCTGGGGTATGGCTGGTGGGTTCGAACTGTGGGTCATTTGGTTCACAGTCCAGTGCTGATCCTCCAATGCTACACTGGGAGTCCTACGGTTTTAATGTTGCTGTTGTTGTTAAGTGCCGTCGAGTCAATTCTGACTCGTAGTGACCCTGTGTAGGGTTTCCGAGGAGCGGATGGTAAGCTTTAATTGCCAACCTTGTGGTTCAAACCCACCTTGCAGTCCAGGGCGCCATTTAATTAAGCATAACCACCTTATTAAGCCCAAAATGTTTCCATTCACATCATTTAAAGGCAACAGTACCTTAGAGGAGGCAGCTCTTCCCCAGTCGTATTTTGAGAACCTTCTAATCTGAGGAGCTCATATTCAGCACTATAGCTGATGATGTTCCATTACTGTTAATAAGGGTTTCAGGGGCTACACATTCAGTAGGAATCTGTTTCTCTTTCTTCCTAGTCTGTTTTAGTCTGAAAACTGCTGAAACCTGTCAATCATGAGTGACTTTGTGAGTATATTGGTGGCATAGCTTCCAGCATCACAGCAAACACACAAGCCACCACCATACAACACAGTGACATAGGAGTGGAAGTAACCACGGCAACCTTTAATCCTGTAACTACCACCACACGGTCAGCATTTCTCAAGCTGGGGGAACTGAAGACAATATTCAAGCCTTGATTTTCATTATTGAAAGATTCACTGGGCAAATTATTGAATGATGCAGAATGCATCAAGAAAAGATAGAAGGAATACACAGAGTCATTGTACCAAAAGGAAATGGTTAATGTTCAACCATTTCAAGAGATACCATATGAACAAGAGCCAATGATACTCAGAG